AAGTTTCAGTTGCCACTATAAAAAGATAAGATTTCTGCACTGATCAATCAGACGATGATGAAATAACATCCGACAGCCGTACAGCTACTCAAACAAAGTCAACAGGTCTAGCAAGTCGATCAGAAGTTTTACCATATTTTGAACAGCAACCCGATGGTTTTAAATACAAAATTTGTCTTAAAGTGAATTTGCTAATACATCCTCTTAAGCATCAAGAATTTATACATAGAAATACCGAGGTGACCGACAGTTGTTTATTTGACAGAACGTTTCTAATTTGAGAATTTTTTCAAACATTTTCATATTAATGAGTATATTGCTTCTTCAAACCTGTTGCAGATTATATCTAGATATAATCACTTATAACTGTAAATAACGATTAATTGATCAGTGCAGAAATCTTATCTTTTTATAGTGGCAACTGAAACTTCAACTAGATTTAAAAAATAAATATCGTAGCAAAGAGATTAATATTCATTTTCAATATACAGGATGAATGTTGTATGATGGTAACGATCGCTCAAAAAAACGGAATTTCATATTATGTCCTATTCAACATAAAAACTATAGGAAATGATGTTGAGTAAGACCTGTGTCGTTTTTCTTTCACTAAAAGTTGACAAGGATTAATAAACCATAGGGAAAATCTGTTTCAATGTCTCATATCTCCTTTCTTGAGAAGAAAGATGATATGTTTAAAGCATCGTGTAATCACAATAATCTTGAAATGGAGCGTGATTTATATTGTTGTTCTTTTTTATAGAACTATCAAGCTAGTAAGTTCAGTGATACTAATCTAAGGAAACATCTTTCATCATCACACAAGGTGCCAAATGTTTTATTCAAATCACAAATTAATGATAATCCAAAACTTCATGTTACAACAATCTCCTCCGAACGTCGACGTGAACTACATAGTGCTGTAATTAATTGAATTATACAAGATGGACTTCCATTTAATACTTTTCGACGTTCTGGAATGTCTCATCTTTTATCAACAGTCATTCCAGAATACAAGGGTCCTCATCACAAGACGGTACGGAATCGAATAGCTGCTTTATACTCTACATATACGACAAAACTTCGTGCACTTTTACCTAAACTTGGTCCACTTGCACTTACTTCCGATCTGTGGCGAAATTCACGACAAACCAACTTCATTAGTCTTACTGCTCATATTTTTACAGAAAATTACGAGAGTATTCCTATTGTACTTGGTTGTCGACATGTAGTTGGCCCTCATTTAGCAACATCAATTGAACGTCATCTCAAGTATGAGCTTCATCGATTTGGTATTAAAAAAGAACAAATTATTAGTATTACAACTGACAACGGCAGCAACATGAAAAAGGCTACTTCGTCACTCAAATTTGGTGATAGAATTAGTTGTATGGCTCATAATCTTAATTCAGTTATTAAGAAAAGTCTATGTTTGTGGAATGAGCCAAAACCAGATGAGTAAGTATAGTTTGAATATATTAAATTAACATTTTTCAAGAACACTTTGTAATTCCTTTTTAAGTAATATAGCTTGAAAATAGCTTTGAATGAATTAATAGCGACACTAAGAAAGCTTTCTACTAGTTGTTGATAATTGACGCATTATATCTTATAGACTATTCTAAAAGTCTCTGGATAATGAACTAATAAAACAGTTACGCTTACCATTAATAAATCAATCTCATCATTTTTTCAATTTTTGTTTCAGTATTGCATTTCAATCTAATTTTGATACGGACGAATGGGAAGATCTCGATGATGATGAATTTGATGATACAAGTGAATGTGCTGAAGATACAGATGATGCGGTTTCCGATTTAATTAGTGAAGAAGAAGATAATAGCTCAAACAGTGAAGATGATACAGATGTTAATGAAAAAAATAATAATGAATCAGATAGTGATTCTGATGTTGATCTTGTGTTTTCTTCACTTACATTAAATGATAATAATTCATCATCAATTGATTATTTTAAATTATTAAGTGATATCTTTGAATTAATCAAAAAAAAACAAGATTAGTTATTAAATTTATTCGTAATCATAATGCTACCAATGAATATATTAATAAATATATGCTTTCAAAAAGTGATGATATTAAAACTGGTTGTCTTGTTTTAGACATGTTAATACGCTGGAATAGTACTTTCTTATTACTTGATCGATTAATAAATCACAAAGATGTTGTTAACAGTATGTTTAATTTTCCAAACAATATTCCAGGTTTAACAGAAAAACAAAGAAAACGACTTAAAGAATTAGCTCTTAATCAACATGAATGGGAATTATTAGATATTTTAAAAGATATTTTAAATCCGTTTTTGCATGCAACAGAAGCACTTTCTGGTCAAACATATCCTACCATGGCAGTATCTTTCTACATTCATCGTCTTCTATCATATTATCTTGAATCAACTGCTGATGATGAACCAATTACAATTGCATTAAAGCAAATTCTTTGATACTGGTTTCATATTTTTTGTAAAGAAAAACTACCTACAAGACAAATGGAAATAATGATGGTAATTAATCTTTTTAGTTAATTTCTGACAATGCCACAACTTAAAAGGAAGAATATTTAAGTCTGAGAAAAGAACGACATATAATCATGTTTGCCAACAAAACTTAAGTAGTGTCGCAAGATTGAGATGGTAAAAAAAATTCAACGTGGTAGTGCCTAATAGTATTTTAGGAAAAAGGAGAAGTGTCTTAGGACCAAGAAATACAAAATTTCTTCTTAATTCTCTACAGTTTCGTGGTTGTTAACAACAAAACGTCATGTTATTCATGATGTTTTTCATCCAACATCAATATCATTGAGAAAATGTGTGAAGATAAATAAATAGATGTGAAAAACTTTGAAGGGGCAACGTCAATTAGTCTATTGGGAATGATGAAACTGCGAAGGAAATAACCATAAATCCTCGATTCCTCGAAGAACTATCACAACACTGTCGATAGTGTCTCGAAAGTTTAGGAATTCTAATTCCTCAGTTCTAAAACTGTTAATAAACAGGTATGAAGTTTCTCTAGTTTGCACGTATCATAAAATGCTAAAAAGACACCTTGAAGACATAGCTAACAGAAGAGAGAATTTACATATCGTGTTCTGAGCAAGGGTGAATCTTATCGATTAATTTAATACCTTCATTAATTTAAGCTGAATGTACGTCTATACAACTTGTTTTACTTATTATTATATTAATCTATCTTTATCAAATCAAATAACTTTCGTAGAAGCGTATTTTCTGTATATAACACTGTAATTCTTTAAAACAATGCATAAGTGCCCAACGTATGCAATATTGTATACGTAACTAGATGATAAAATATAGATTTACTCAACACTGTAAGAATTTCATAATTTATCATTTAAGCATTTCAAATTATTTAGATAAATCAGGTAGTTCATAAGCTGTCTGAAAATATATTTTGCACATGTGAGAAAAACGAATTAACTTTATTAGTGCAATCAATAATTCCACTGTAAATAACGAAAAGCCATTTTTATAATCTATGATTATTTAAATCTCAATATACAGAAGATCAAGATGCACAGACAATTAAATTCGATCTTTCAGGGTAATCACAATCGACCAGTATGACACTTACACATTGTTTTCTATCACTAATAACTATTTCACAGAGCGCGAGATCATGATGTAGCTCTTGATTTCTTGAATTAAATCACATTCCGTCGTTGAAATATAGATGATAAAAACCGTATCATACAAATGGAAATTTAGAAAACAGTTTCTATCAATTACGATAGAGTTCTGAATTCTGTTTTTTTAAATTTTTATATAATGTCTCGATAATATCTTTGATTTTTCGTCTTTATAACATTTATAAAACTTTACTCTTACTTTTAGGTTGCTGCATTCATGGATCCTGTCATCTATAAGTTATTGGATGACAATGATTGTCGATCAGCAAAAAAGATCATCTTTCGAAAATTGAACAATTCATCAATTCATTATACAACTTTATCATCGTTATCAACAACAACTACAACAAAACGTACTGCACTTTAAAAATTAGCAATCGCTTGTGGTCAAATACTGTCTACATCAACAACAATGAAAACGGTAATGACTGTAGATGAAGAAATCAGTAGGTACATCAAATTAGCATCAGCAAAATCTGCTGATGATTTTCAACAGTTTTGGATTGAAAATGGTAAACAACTACCTCGATTGGCAAATCTTGTTCGAAGAATGAACATTATACCAGCTACTTCGATCAGTAGTGAAGCTTTATTCAGCATAGCTAGCTTCATACACAGAAAACAACGTTCTTCGTTATCTCCTCGTATTAAAAAACCGACATTTAATCGATAAACTTGAACGGAACTATTCGTAAATTTTTTAAGTTTTTCCTTTCACTTGAAGCCTCCACGAGAGAGTGTACTAGACTACCGACCAAGCAGCTTCCACTGAATTTATTTTGGAGTTCTTTTAGCTCAGTTGAAAAATCATTTAGACAAATTAATGATCAAAATCCTCGAATTCGTTACAGCTAGACCATAAAGATTTTAAAAAATAGTTTGTTTCATATTTTGGCCGTATTCTAAGAATTTCTTTGGCTCTATCGATCGTTTTACGTCAGAAATGATCTCATAATATGTAGAAAAACGTTCTGTACAAATGGAATTTATCAATGGTCATTACAATAATTTTTATTAATCGATCATATCAATATAAAGAAAAGAAGATCTATAGTCTATGATAGTCATTTTGCTTCTAATTTGCGTCTAACTATCTTACACCATAGAATCTTAAAAGATGAATCCTATTCATACGAAAGTTCTTGAAACTCTTCATCTTTCAAGATATTACTCAATGAACAAAAAGACATGAGCTTGCATGTTTATTGAGAACTACAATTGATGTACAATAGTCATTATGAATAATCATTTTAGTCGACAAGTGATTACATCAAACATATAGTTTTGTTATAAATAAAAAATTTACTTTAGATTCATGATGAACATCAAAAATTGTCTATAGAAATGTTATTTGGTTGATGTTATAGTTAATGACGTTAAAAACAATAGTGGACTAGCAATAGCTGATGCATACTTTGCAACATATATTTACGAGCATCTCTACATACATATGCAGTTTTTGGTGGAGAAATGTGGGGTGATATATTTTGTCTTATTTAGCATTGTTGAAGTTGATACTTCAATATTATCTATTTCATTTTTTTTCTTTCGATTTCGTAGTTGAGTAAATTTAATTTTTTCCGATGTCGTTGATAAAACTATATAAAATTGTGAAAGCTTGTGTTCGTATTCACTGATCCTCAGCATCAAAATTTGATATGAGAGTAAAGCGAATCGCATATTTAGAATGCGCGATGACACATAGTGTACCAGATATATTTTGGTGGAACATACTTGTTGTAGAAACTAGTCCCAATGAGACATCCACAAGATTTAGGAGAATATTCAGATGGAGAGTACACATTAAATTTTGGTAGTAGAATATTTTCTGCTAAAATACAGGGTGGCCCAAAAGCCATGTTACCCAAAAAAAATTAAATATCTTCCTTACGGCTCGAGCAAAGAAGCTGATTTTTTTATCAATGATAGAGGCATCCTCAGGCTTTATATCTATAAGAACAAGGTCAGGAAGAACCC